TATATATATATATATATGAAACAGAATACACTAGATAGCCGCTAGTCGACGAGCTCAACTTAATTGAACTTTCCTTAAGTCATAGTGTAGCGTTGAAATTCGTTCACTTGTAGCTGGGCCGCGTATGTCACTACCGAACTCGAGTGCATGGGAAGTTCTCACAACAGTTGATATTACTGTTGTGCTCAGCATACACCGTATCAAAACGGGCAGGTGCGGCGACCTTTCCATGCGTTCGGGAACTAAACCGGTTTCACCGTGTGGTGTTATGAATACGTTAGTCAGCCGTGGACATATCGAATCTATAATTTTTCGTGTTCCTGCGGATAATTTCAATGAATGAATGAATGTATTAAATTTTGTTTCAAAGCAGCAATATTCGACGCTAACAGATTAAGGAGAAGAAAGACCAAACAGAGACTGAACCATAAAAAGGACAACAGCAAAGCATCATCCGTTATGATATCGTTAGTAAATGGCGGATTGTGTTGCAAGTAGATAAAGGAATGAACACGAGCCATGTTGTTATAAATGTTTATTATTGGATACCAGCCGTAGTTAAGGTTTAGCAACAGAAATAATGGACACTATTTATAACACACGTCTGCTTTGCTATAGAAGATTGCCGTTATCCCTAGAGCAACAACAAACATCCTTTGGGTACTCCGTGAGGTCGAGATGTTACAGTGACAAAAATATTTTTAAACTCAAACGTAAAATTTCAGCATCCGCACAACTGACTGCCAAAAACAAATAATGCAATAAAGATTTAACGGACAAATAAAAAGAATTGAAAATTATCATTATTTAAATTAACAGCTGTCTGTATGATTGCTAAGTCGCTTTATAAATCTGTTGGAAACCTGTCAAGGTAATTTGAGCAAGACGTACTCGAATTTTAATCGAGGAGATTTTGCCTATCGAAAAATTGCCAAAAATTTTAGAAATAACCTAAAAAAAAACAAAAAAAGATAGGATATAAACTAAGTTGTCGCTATTTATCCTTTACGGTAAGCTCGGATATAAGGTCCTACATAGGAAATTGGTTTACTTAGTAGTCTTCAGAAAGGCACGCAAATTCTATATTAACTTACCTCTCATTTACCGTCCTCGAACTAGTCAACCATAGCAGTAAGTACAATAAACCTTTTCTACAACAATGAGTCTGCAGCATTAACGTTGCCACTTCAAAGACGCTAGAGACGCCTGGTAACCATGCTAAATGGCCAACCAAGTGGAAATATCTATGACAACTGAACAACAATCTAACAAACAATCCGATAGTTACCAAGAGGCACTATGTCATGAGTTTTATAGCCCTGCTAAGAGCCTGTAGATCGCTAGACATTAAAGACCAAGCTGTTTGACAGAAACTGATATCAGAACGCCATCTAAAGAAATTACAAATGCTATTAACATATTAAGAATGATTACGTATCGATATACATAGGCATTATAGATAGGCCCCTTATTATCTAATTATTGCACTACGTTGTAACGAGTGCTGGCAAGCGCCGGTTCTAGTCCTTTTCGCAGCGCGAAGAAGCCGCACGATCAGGCCCTTAAGGTTGTTTCACACTATTAGTTCATCGTTCATAATGCGCTTAATAATATGTAAAAGGCTATTCGCTACGCATAGATACCAGACAGAATACGGTTACTTCCATTTACGAGGTATTTGCTGTCATTTTTTTTCCATAAATGATCCTGGCTTTGACGCTTCCACCATCTCCAGTTCAATATCGGCGATTGCTTCACTGGATTATATGGGCGGAACGGAAGTGAAATTAGACTTAATAGACGAGACAACAGGAATTAATCACTATATCAGTGGAACAGACAGTGGTTACCTAATGATTTCGAGCCAAAATGGCGAGATAGTGGTCTCAGATCCAATCATTAGTCCATGAAAAGTAATCATTTTAACAGTAATTGGTCATATAGAAGTAACTCCTCACAGCGGTTATTAGGGCTACGAGCCAACGTGCTGCCTGCTTAAGCTTCAAGCATCACTGATACTGTGGTAAGTATATCGGGTAATAATTCGACTAGACGTTCTTCGGCAGGTTTCTGTGAAGAAGACTTGCAACAATATATCTTTATCATTATATTACTGCCGATCCTAGCTTCCAACGCTACATAGCCTTTGGAGTTATTGCTAGATAATATTTTTGCCTAATATTATTGATCTAACTTTCAGCTTCACGGATTTGCTAAGCATTCCAATCCTACTACTTGATTAGTTGTTATAAGGCATAGGAAGGAAATCGAAGTGGTGGCCGAGAAAACAGGTTGGTTTGCCTGAGTTTATTTAAACTTATATAGCAAATTGCTTTTTCTCTCGAAAACATGGGTCACATCTTTTCAAAAAATACCAGCTGCGCTAAGATGACATACACCCGGCGTAATAGTGCCATGACAACATTCAACTTGGCATGACGACATGATACGGTTGATATGTAAAAAAGCATTGTTGTAGCATTAAAAGCCCTGGTATATTCTGTTGGCTTCTAGGTCTTTGAGAAGCATATACTCGTCACGTTGCGCTCGCATCAAGTGCAAACGTTTGCGCGACAGAGGGCATTTGAGAACGAATCGTTCGTCCCTTGTCAGATACGTAAAGAGAATCACAAATGTTTATGCTGAGACTAAGCAGAATGATTTTAGTAAATATCGGTGCGCGTAACGTTATCGATTATCTATTTAGATTAACTAACTCTTTTGTAACACAATAATGATTCACAATTGTTGTGAGCACAAAATTCTGCTCTAGCGGCGGCTGCTGCATGTCCGCTCTCTACTGTCCTCCGCTCGTAGATACCCACCAGAACTTCTGGTCGGCAGCAGCAGAGCCTTGAGCCAAGGAAGCCAACTGGCCCCGACCGCTAGTATAACATCGAACACGAAACAAAATAAATTCGTAATACAAACACCACGCAGAAGGAGCAAGCTAACAGGCAGACGAATAAGGAAAAGCTTCTCCGTGCGGCGCGCCCTCTGCATTTGTAAATCGGCAATATGGAAAGCCTCAGAATGCAACTACATGCGCATGTACTAGAAGGAGAAAGTATGACTGACTGTAAAGCAAGGGTCTATAGTTGCCAGCGCCGGACACGAGGAAAGCCGAAATAAGGTAACGAGAGTGAAAGCAGGCCTAATCCAGGCTTGTCTACCTTTTCTTTGGACGTTGAGGGCAAATGCATTATGCAGACCAGACCCTACAACTATGTTGTTTGTCAGATACTGAGGAACTCTCATCCGCTAAACCCTAGACCCCTCGAAAACTTGGGCTTTGGTTCGGAATATAGTTTAATATTACTTCGAAACTATAGCTTGCAGGAGCGGGCGTTGGGCTATTATCTCGTTTGTTACGTTCCGGTCTATCCTACGGTCGGGCTCCCCATCTCCCCGGATATGCTAATTCCTGGGCGTGGTCTTGTGCCCTGTTGTCCCGCAAGAACCGACTGCAGGACATCGAATTCATACTCGTCTCGAGCTTGTCCTTCCGTTATTCTCTTGCAGCGCATCCTTTCGACCTGTTCCTTGATGTCGCCAAAGGAGGCCGTAACTTTCTTTCCGCTCATTCAGCCTAGTCTGTCTAACGCCTGGCTGCATTACGGATGTTGAGGTGATACAGTGCATATCGGTTTCAACTGAAACTTGCGTAGTTTGGGTTCCTTAATTAAGCTTGCTCTGGCTCTGAGACCAACTCTATCATTGTCAACGGATTTAGGCCGATACTCATTAAGACGGCTATAGGTCGTATATAGTCATGGACTTAATTTTTCTTAGCCAACCCACCGACAGCCATTTAGAAATTGGCATCTAATTAAGAAATATGAAACACCTGTCGATTTGCGTATCCATATATCATTATGTATACATATGTGTATGTAGTACTATGTGGTTGTATGTGTCCGCGTAATGGAAGACGAGAAACAGTAACACCATTGCGATATTATTTTACCCATAATAAAGATCAGAACATTTATAAATCATCTCCTATATATTTTGTCTATTTGCAGTGGCTAGTTTAGCTTATCAGGCCGAAATGTCGACTCATATGTTGTGCAATCAGGTGAGTCCTGAGGCGCGTTCGAGACAGCAGACATCTTGGGTACCGTGATGCTGGTTTGCCTGTCGCCTGTTGAATAGTAGAAATTCATCAGCGCATGCACGGTTGCTTGTCATGTCCTGCCTGCTTCCAAATGTTACGATAGATTGGCCTGGGTTAGCAAAAAGAATCAACGCCAGAAATGCGTTTACATAGCATTACTTTTGTGCTAAAGCCAGCATCTTTCTATTAGCACGACATTGAATATATAGTAGATGTTTCTTTGAACAAAATGTTTCAGTTGCGCCGTATCGCTCATACCATTTGCTTAGAGCATATCGCTTCAACAAAATGAGGCCAATGGCAAAGTGCGTTAGCTATTCTTTCGTATCATCAATATTCGAAAAAGCGGCAAAAAACTCTTCAATGAATAGTTTGCTTGCAGGCCAAGAAAAATAGAGAAATATATTATTATTCGCGAATAAAGGCTTGAGTTGCGGCTTACCTTTCTATTTGATAATTCGTCGGCTTAAAACCCCCCTTCGTTACAACTTCGAATGGTTTTTCTGTGATAGCAATCATTGCTAAACAGATGAACCAACGAATAGCGACCTCATGTAGCTCATAAATGATCGTCATACTGTTTTTGACGTCAAATAGTCGTTTTTAAGTATAATTATAGTTAAATAATGATCCAGTGTCTATGGGATGTGTCCAACTTATAAGGCGGAGAAATTGTTATGTATTTAATTGGCGATTCTACGCTAAAAGAATCGAATGATTTGACGGCGCGCCGGTAGGACGCATATTATCAGTATTCAGCACACCCACAAATAAGCCATTCTTATACTACCATAATAACCATTATAATTAATGATTTTTCTTAATGTTCACACTGAACTGGTAGACCCATTCATAGGAATTTAGAATTTTCAAGCTGTTTTCGATTTTAGTTTATTATCGCAGAAACTAATATTGGCGTATTTGATCTAATTCACTGCTAGTAATTTTTAGCCAGCTACATAATAAAACGTTAATTTCGAAAGTAAACAATTTAGAGTCATCAAGAACGATGAAGTACAAGCATGTAAGCGGTCTCAGAGTCTGCACATGACAAACCCAGTGATTTGGGCCTGGTTCAAGTGATCGGTTTCATTTTTGTCTCTGTTTTTGAAGAAACTATCCAGAATCCAATCCAGAATCTAAATCGACCTAGCTCGGCATGGCTGTCAGGAAAAAGGCTATTTTTGCTACGACTTCATCAAGAGGCGACCGCCTTCATCTGTAGCCACAGCTTTTACACCGAAACAATTATGATTCGCTACTCAGCAAACAAATCTACATTAACTGTGACTTCACACAAGACAGCCACTCGTAGAGCTTTTGGAGACGAAAATAGAACGGTATATAATTCCACCCCTTGAAGGTCCCATCATTATAGCGAATATGCTGTATTATATCAGCAGGACCAATAGTAGCGTTCGATATAAGCCTGAAACGAAAGGGTATAATTAAATTTTCGACACGTTGAACTTAGGAAGCTCAATACACTTTATTCTATAATAATCTTATTTATAATAGTCGCTATTTGCTATTACGGTCCGTACTGTTTCACTTTTTTAGTAGTTTAGTAAAAGTAATACTATAAGCCTGGCTAGCTATGGTCTTATTGCTCTTTAAATTTGTTTGACCTAGCTTGTAGAACTCGTGAGCAGTTCGTCCGCTCCATGTTAATAAGTTCCGAGTAGAACAAGGTATGCTTGAACGCGATATCGCTCCATTTTGCTACTGCCACTGTCGTTTGCGTCATCATCAGCTGATCGGTTACCTATTTACCAATGTGACACGGACCGGTCTACAGACCGCTTCTTTCCTAACTGCCTAAGGCGCACTTGTGTCATTAGCATCACAGATTCATTTGCTTACGATCAGTTATTGCCGATACCGCCGCTTCGTTTTTAGCGGGTAACTCTTATAGCCCGCTCTTAATGAATCAGTATCAATACGTCGTCTTCAAGTTATATAGCTCATCGCCGAATATATTTCGTTGCTGGCGTTGTATCGTGTCTGAGCAACGGCGCATCTGGTCCCTTACATCCCTCTTTGCCAATCAATCTGAGCTCCACTTACTCAGTGTTAGCGGCTACATATGTATGAGTCCTTATGCGTTTGTTGTTATGCTCGATAGGGTACGATGCAACTGTGCAGCAGAATAATTACCGATCGGGGCTCGTGCAGGATGCAGGAATAAAATTGGCATGCATCGCTTGTGGCATTTATTCTCGGCCATACGACCCAGTCATACTGGCAAACAAATAATAAGTACCTTGCCATCCGTACACGGCCGCACGAGTACTTCAACAACAACCGTTGCAAGCAGAACTTCGAATTTTTACTTCGTACGTTTGTTCTCGTGTAGGTTGTAGCATTATAATAATACACAGAAATCACTGTCAATTAAACGTACAGTTGAGTGAGATTCGCTGACTCGAGGATTAAATAGCGTGGTATAGTGCGGCACGCTGCAACAGACCGACCGATATTCGGTAACCGTTCTAGCATAGACATCGATATGGGTTGAACTTAAATCACTGGCGTTGCGACTCTCCTCATCTGAAAGGTATCGTTGACCTTTTCAAGAGACGAGTTTCGACTCCGGAGCCGACGACGTAGTATTTTGCCGTCATATTCAATGGGATCCAAAAAAGGCGTACGTACTATATTCTATCTACAATAAAGGGCTATATTATTATCAGAATAATTAAACGCGCCAGTTTGTGAAACTCAGAAGAACTCACTAGATGTTATTAAATTCATGTAGTCGTAATGCCACTTTTAAAGCCAAGCACAGCGTGATTGATACTTAACCATAACAATTTGATTAAGGGTACTCATCTGAGTATAGGTACACTTGAACCGGGCTAACGTGTTTCATTGCCATCATATTTATATGAGCATATTAGGCATGCTCTCAAACTATCAGGTTCCTTTAAAAAAATTTTCATTTCTCGAACTAGCACTAAGTTGTCGAAAAAATATTGACCGTTTTATTTTATCAAACTCAAAAACCTTTGCCGTTTTGCTGACAATATCACAGTTCAATTACTTTGTGGATTCTGAGCAAAAAAATTGCTACAATTGATCTTTGCACCTTTACATTAAAACTAAATTAATGCCATTAAGAGAACGCTGCACAGGCCGAGACAAATAATAGTCTGATGGCCCAAGATCCTGTCTGTATAGCAAATGAATTACGATTTACGATCGAAGATGTTTCATTTTTTACCGAATATCTAAGCATGCGTGCGTACCTAAAGATGGTCGAAGTTGACACCTCTTCTGTTCCCTAGTTGCGGTCATTTTTTTCAATGATTTATTGTGATCTTGTTAGTTGTTGACAGTAGAGGCCTTAATCAATCGTTTTACTAAATAGCGACCCATAATGCACGGTTCCTTCCCAATCTAATACATAGCGACACCTTCCTTGGTGTCGGTCTGGGCTTTGCCACAGATTGTGGGGCACATTTTTATTTTTTTAATTTGTACGTTATTATTATATGTAACTTACTTCTGATCAACCGCTTTAGAAATTACTCGATTTCGGTAGAATCTCGCAAGTGGAAAGACGATCGAGTATGTTTCTTTGCCAGTTTTTTTTTTAACTTGTTTAAACTTATTTGGTTGTTGATGTTTATTTTCTTTGAAAAATTACAGTTACTCACGTGTCTTGCTTAACTTTAGCAGTGATTTCATCAACTTTTTCTGTAACTAATCGAACACTACGAGAAACAAAATTCACATCAGAATTTCCAGAATGAAAGTGACAGGATCATATTTAAGTCATTTTTGTGCGATACCGCGTCCTGACCATGACGCCGAACTTTTTTACGAGACTTGGCCTTTACCCTAATGATATTGTAAAATATAACAATTTTTACAGAAATTTCAACAACTTTCAAGGTCTTCTATCTTTAGTCTGAGAAAAGGTATTCCAAAAGTTACAGGACCTCTACTACTACCAAATCTCAGCCCTCAAATCGAACCAGCGGCGGCACGACGCAACCCAAATTGTATCAGATATGGGACTTGGAAGCCATCTAGCTAGGAAAATAGGCACATTTTCGATATATAAACACACATATATAAACACAAAGACGACAATTTATTAACACAAATAAACTCAGTTTTGAGGTAAACAAAATATGAATTGATAGCGTCAGTTTGAAACAATGTAAACATAATTACACTGCCTACTAGTAATAAACCAAATTGAGCTTCACCACGAGTAACACACCTGCCATAATAAAGTTAGCAATTAGATAACGAAGATACGGCGAAAACGAACACTGCGCTATCTTTGTACTTCTAATACACGTTATCTAATGATAAGTTCTTTTGTGAATCAGAGATTATTTTCACTAAAAATTTTATACGATATGACTCGCTCGTGGATATCAATATAAAAAATATATCTTTTACTGTCTATCATAAAGTAAGAAGAATAGGAAGAATCTTACTGAATTTTTATCTTTACGTTTACTTGTACAGTTCAGCGATTATCATGTTACTTGTCCTAAAAGCGTAATAATATTTCTCTGACCTGCTTGTATACTTCCGCAAGGTCCATCTATGTGAGCTACTTACTATATGGCACAATTACAAAGTTATCTCTGTAGTTCGGCTTCAAATTTAGGGGCAACTGTGTTTAACTTATAGGACATGGGTTCAGCATCATGTTTAAGCTCTAAATGTATTACTTCTAATCTGAGGCCAGCTTCAAAATTAAACTCAGAAAACGATTGCTAAAATATTATATTTTTAAAAGCTAGCAAGCACGAAGCTACGACCTTATATAGAGACCATTCTGCCAATCAACTCCCTGTTTACGTCTAATTATATGTGACTGAAAGCACATCCGGAAAAAGGACGACGATAACTTTTGCAAGAATTTTGGGTTTGATAAAGCAATAATCATAAAAGTCATAGACCAGATACTTTGTGCGCAGGCACAAATATAGCATAAATAGCCCCTCTCAAACTTTCTACAGACAGATAACCAACGTGAACATTTATATTGTGTGGTTTGTTAGCAATAATGGAGACGCCACGAACAGCGGGGCCACTGCCGGCTCAGGGGTTGCCCTTATATGTAGAGAGTTTGCGGTGGATGCGGAGGAGTTCAGCGCCTCCATATCTACACATAATTACCGAGGGGGGAACTCTTTCCTCATGAAAAACGGAAATAATTCTATGCCAATGCGTATACCAAAAGGGAAATTCAGAACCGAAAAAGATTTTCTTTTTCCTTTCTTTCTTTCTTTTCTCTCTTTTCCTAAGAAAGTGAGCAGATGAGCCGGAACACTATAAATGTTGTTAATCATTCAACTATGTCTAGTGTGGATCTTCATTTTCTTTGATTTTCGCATACTGCACTTAGCTACGCTCCAAATAAGCCAATACTACTAACAGATGACACCATGATAGGTAGCGATACCATTAATTATCTATCAGATTCTCGGTGTATCTCTGTCGGTTTGTCTTTAGTAGGTTGAACTTCTGGCGCGTTTTCCACCAATTGAAGAATCCTAAATTTCTTATTCTTGTAGCCATGCGTTTTGTTTACATTGTATTTTGTATTCCCTTTTGTTGCCCACGATATTCTGTCATCTGTCAATAGATTTACGTTCAAAATTTCGCTAGAAACTTTCGAGTTTGATGTTGAAAAATTTACTGTTAAATGTGTGTTTCTGGATTTAATTTGCCAGTGAAACACAAAAGGTAAAAAGCCATCAACGCAAGGTCCGGAGAACATACAATAAAAACCATCCATTTGAAGTCCAGAAAGGTAACTGACGACCTTGCCTTGTGTAACTCCGCGTTGTCAGAACAGGATGAGCCGGCCTCATGTGTGAAGTTTTCTTCCTGGAACGGTTCGGTTGATTTGACGGAACAGGACTAAATAAGCGTACCGATAAATTGTCTAGGTCGTAAGAAAAAACTCCGAGCGAATTTAACCCTTGCAATTCCATCAGATACAAAAGAAGCCCTTCTCTTGGGATGAAAATTGGGTTGGGTGCTGAGCGATACGCTTGTCTCTTAGAACCATTCATGCCGATTTAATTAATTTACTTCATTGCCTGTAGGAATTCCTGTAGTGCAGAAATTGGTTATTGTGACCGCGTGACGCATAATACCAGGCGAGATGTTGAAAGATAGCGTTAAGTTGTAATTCAGAAAGTTTATGAAATAACCAAGCTTCAAGTTTCTGTCGAAATCTAAAGACTCTGGCGTGGCTAACGATGGTCGTGTGGCTCGTTTCTTTTTCTGGCTAGTTTTCGATTTGTTTGTCTGCCGCCTTCCCTTAAAACACCATCTTCCAGATGGTCGTCATCGAACCCAGATGGTCGGCTAAAAAAAAAGAGGACACCCTCTGACACTCAAACACCATTTTCAAATTTGGCAGACCATTTTTGAGCAGTACTTGTAGCTATAGCAGCGTTGTTACCGTGCATAAGGTAAATGTACCACGTACATAAAACGAATGTCCCGAGCCGGTTCGGTAGTGTTTCAGGTTCGATGAAATGCATAGATCAGAAGGTGTCGAAAACGCATTTTGTCGATGTGCACTGCCGACAGATGCGCGGATAAAGTTATGGAACTGGTAAAAAATAATAGGGAATATTTTATTCAGAATAAGTTAGGTAAAAGGGAGTTAGAGAAATTGTTGGTACCAAGCAAACGCAAAAAGGTCGATCTAATAGTATAGTGCAATCTCAAGGGTCGATTATTACCGTCACTTGAGATTCCGGCACAAAGCGTCTTAGCATTTGTTAGCGGATATTGGACCATTCTTATATTTATTATTATTATTATACCATAATTGTACTACTAAAATATAAATGCTGAATGTAATAGCGTATATTAATTTATGGTAATTTACTTGTTACTATTAATCCCTTGGCAAATAACGATGTTACACCTCAGTGAACTGCCTTAAATATTGACGAAATTGAAAATACGTTATAAAAACTTCAAAAATGATAGAAAGAAACATTTTGAGCATGTTTAAACTAGGGCGAATGGCTATTTGGGACGTAGTAAAAGAAAAACTAATTATAAACTATAAGGAGAATAAATTAAGCACACGTTTTGATATGTATGTTTGTGCTTAAGGATAAAGAGGACAGTCGAATTCAGCCGTAACGTAAGGTGTCGTTTATAAATACCATTCGACAGAATTTACTCCGAAAATGAAGATAAATATCAATAAACTTACGAAGAAATTAGCTGATTGAAGTGTCTGTGTTTAAGGTTTCCAACTCAGGGAAAAATTTACTGCCACAAATCCAAAGACAACAAAAAGCACCTCAATTTAAAAGAATGTTACTTGACGGCATCCTAAGAACGCGCTTATTGGCGCAGCAGTGCCGTTTTTTGGTGACTTTAGCATCGACAGGTATTTGTATCGATATGATTTATTAACATAATAGGTTGTTTCAAATTTATCCCATTTTATGTAAATACCAAAGGTAAGTAAAAGGTGGCTTTCTCCGTTTTTCTGAAAACGCCTGTCGTGTGAAAGCATTTTTCTGCTTGAAGCTAAAACTATACAGTACGACGAATCAGTTTATTAGTAAGCAGTGAAAGCTGAGGTGACTGCCGTGCATTGTAAAGAAAAAAATGACATACAAAGATAGTGGCGAGCGTAATTTCCCTCGACACTCTTCTTTGACCTGATGTAATGCAGAAGCCGTCGAAATAATGTCTATCAAACTGGATGTAATTTGGCCATTACTGGTAAATGAAATGTGAAAATATATATTCTACATATACACGCCTCCGGAACAAACAGCATGGTAGCTATTGCTATCGCCGTACCTTCGAATGACATAGAAATTCTGATTGATGGAGCGTTCGAAGTAAAAGAAATTGTTTCATTGCTTATTGTGCCTTTGAACTAACAAGGGACTGACCACAGAACTAACCGGGTGATACAAACAATAAATATGAACAAAGTTAAAGAAATAGTAGAAGAGTAACTTTCAATGGACGTATATGAAAGTACTTACGTTGTAATAAGTAGCGTTAGTGCGATCGTTGCAGCAACCGGTTTCATAAATTCAATGAGGAAAGATGATAACAGGAGCATGGTAAATACCTAGGAAGTTTGTTGTTTCCTGTCAAGAGTAACTGTTTTACAATGTAAAACATAATTACTATGTTCACTTCGACTGAATTTCTACACAGACAGTGAAAATTGCACGTCCATTAATTAACCATCCACGCTTAACATAAAATAAGAGCTCCGATGCTTACCATATGATTCGTGAAATATATTATATACTTACTAAGATTACCATTAACTAGTTTCGTCAAAGAGCATCAGCGCTAATTCATTGATTACTATACAATTCATTTTTAGGAGGAGAAGCAAGTACCACTGGAGCTGGAAGAGGACGAAAATGAAAAGCCTTATCTAACGTACTTCCTAGCAGCCGGTGTGGTCATCTCGACAGCGATCGGCTTGTATGTCGGTATACTCTTTCATCCAGCAGCACTTGCAGTCCTCGTTCTAGGTTGGTGATAGCTTACTATTCGCTGTTACTGCTACCATTATGATCGCTGATGAAGCTTCGAAAACGATGGCCTTCTTCAGTCGATTTACATCGAGATAACGATTACGACCACGACACGAACTCAATACTTCTATTCAAGAGCAATATTAATTTCGCTACATATTCGTATTAATGAAATGCTGAGCCGTTAACATGATGATGAACAACATGAAAATAACGATATATGAATAATATACCGTTATACGAATAATCTATTCGTATGTTTTCGAATAAATATAGACAAATTTTACAAACTGGCCATTATTGCTCTTTTACCCATTTTAATCGTGCAGTACTGCGTCACTCTCATTGTCCCATTCATTACAGGCAACGCAGTATGCCTTGCTTGTTCGGAACTGTTTTTGCATACGGGAAAATCATTCACAGTTAATCCACAAAGAACACCAAAAGAGCTTATTGCAGGTAAATTGAACACGTCATTTAATGAACAACTGTAAAGTCACCACTTGCAATTAATTTGGCTCTGATACGGCTTCTTCTGCAGGCTATTTTTGTTAAGAACACTTTTTTTGGTCGCGTATTCGCGTTTCATCTACAAGAAAAAAGAGCCACAATCTGCATGAACGTGCACAAAAACGCTACAAAGATGGCCAGTCAGTCATAAAGGAAATCGTAGTAAGTAATTGAACTAAAAACGATAATATTTATATAGTACCATTGACCGTCACTATACTAATTGTTTATTACGTAAGCTGACAAAAATAAAGCGAATGCCAATATTTTTACGTGACGTTTCTTGTTTGTATTACTCTACGGTTCGAATCCTCGTTTGACTGGTGACGTATGTGTTTTGTAGGTACATTCTGATGCACCTCACAAAATCTGAAACGTTAAACATGTAAAACATCCAAATTTTCAAAGATATCAATTCAAAATCTATTTCTAATAAAAAATTTCGTGCGAATTTTATGTGTGAAAAACAATATGCAAGAACAATGCATTTTGAACAACAAACGCTAAGTTCTTTTAATTCATATAAATTTATTAAGAATTTAACCCGTTGCGTAACAGCCACTGCTTTCCCCAACAAGCACTTGTGTCATTTACATTTCCATGGCCTTAATCCTAACGTCCATTAGCTATTTGATTCCTATCCGCGCGACATGACAGTTACGGTTAGATCATATGCGTATAAGCGGATTCAATCTTCAGTATATCTCTACACACACCCACCCATCAATCACACATCTGCTATGTAATCGGCACTAACTTAGCAGATTACTTATTCTACATTTTTTAATTAGAAATCTGACCACGACACCACCTTTTTCTCGTATTGTCTGCTTAAAACATTCCTACCGATTATTATACTATTGCCCTGTCCAGATTTCCTCCCAGGCTCATGCCTGAACATGTACTGCAAGTGCCAACATTGTTGGCCGCCCTACTTCAAAATCCTTCCAACATCCACTTAACTGAGGTCTTCGTCAGTCATTCCTTGGTAATCCATTCCAGACTAAAGACAACGTCGGTACATTTACGACTCCAATATAAACATGCGTTTACGATTCCATTTGGCGTCACCTTTTTTGAAAAATGAAGGCCCGATAGCCGTGTCTACAGAATCCAGCTTCACTACCCGTTGACATATGTCTGCCTTCATCAATACTTTATCTAACGCTTCTCGTAAGAAATTTAGCAGAATTGTCAAAATAATCTATATGCTTATTTACTCCATGCGTACCAACCAATACCGGCCTATTTCTCTAAAATAAGTTAGCTTCCGAGTACTAAACCCCGACACCTAGCCGCATTCATTCCTGCGTTGAACGTATATTCAGTAGCCCGTATCGAACGCCCCATTCATTGATTCGGCTGATCTTGGGCAAAAGTTGCGGCCGCGTATGCCATGAGAGCGCTCGCTGCCTGGCGGGTTTCAAGAAGAAGGCGCAGTTCGTGAATCCAATCCTTTGCCGCTTGCCGAGGTTGGCCTTTCAGCTGATTGGCGTAACGCAACGCCTGCTCCAGGTCTTCCTTTTGCAGTGAAGCGCGCACCCGGGAAAGAATATCCAAAGTGTCCCACATAAGAGGGTTAACCTGAAGAAGTAGAGAGCATATAATCGAATGTTAGATACTCGATAATATTAGTTTACTGTTCAGCGAACAGATCTTACCGTAGTTCTGACTCAGCTCCCTTTACCTTTTGTTCTTTGTCCAGCTCTTCCTGGGGCACCGCTTTCGGATATATCATGAAGAACGACATCAAGTAGGAAAGCAAGTGGCGACCTGGGCCGCCACCATTCTGGTCCTCCATAAGTGCAAGGCGACGGCAAGCAGTTTCCACCTAGTGAGATAAGAATAATAAAGTTATGACTGTCCTGTGAAATAACGAATGAAGTATACATTGATCACCAAATTGAATTTCCAGTGAGATCATGTGTCGGCAAAGTACAATCTGGTACTCGAAAACGTTCGACTGTGATAAACACTATATACCTAGACGTATTTCTTCCGATACATGCAAAAGGTCTTTACAAAACCGGTGTCATCGGTTATTCAGTAAAACCAACCTTATAAAAGCGCTCCTTGAGGACTACTTCGGGGTAGACCCCACGCTTGAGAGCTTCGTCAGGAATCGTGGACAAAACGACCTTTACAAATTCGGAAGATTCGGATACTTCACGTAGTGGAACGATATCTGCAGCAAGCGGTTGTGGTGTGTTTTGCTTTTCCGTGATACCTTTAGCCAGAATGTGCTTTAGCGAGGCGCAAGAGAGCCAAAGAGATTTGGCCTGAAAATAAAGGTAAATATATGTAGGCCTTCTTCCGGCAATTTCGCTGTCGCTCCTAACCTTTGAGACTTACTGCACTGAGATTTATAAAAGTAAGAAAAAATTTAGCTAATATATGTAGGCTCAAAAGCTTCACAAGTAAATTCAAGCAAACACTTGAAAGATCATATTTCTCACAGACCTTCTTGGACGCCTCGTCAAGTAGTTTCCTGGCGTTGAGGTATGCCTCCATCTTCTGCAGTAGATCGACAGCTTCCGCCAAACGGGCAACCTGCAGTGACCGTTCCTCTTCGCGAGCTTTTTCTGTATCAAACTGATGTTTCCTAAACAACTCAGCACGCTGGTCTTCGAGCGCCTCTGCATTAAAGTAAAGACAGGTTGTCCACAGTTCGGATTATCGATAAAGTCTAATACACATGACAATTTTATAGATCATGCACCAAATTAGAACAAATCTTAGTAGAGGAAGCGTACAAAACTGTTTCGTCAAAACAGTGAAAAAATGGTTCAATACAAAACTGAAGGTTTTCTTCAGGTATTATGGCAAGCGATATATAATACATTGTTAAATACGACTGGCGATATTTACAAATTAGTTACCTTTCAAATGTTCTGTATGAACGCCGACCTGCCTTCTGAGTTGGTTTTGTAATTCTAGTTCAAATTGTTCTCTTTCTTCGCTGACCTTTTCTGCAACCAATTTTGCTACCTCGCTCTGTTCATTAGAATGCAATAAGAAACGAAGTTAACTTTTTTGTTAACGCTAAATCGTACCTTTTTGTAACCTGCAACAAGCTGATAAATTAAATCATCATCATTTGTGAGGCACCTTGTAAGCAAATCGAGGAAAACTTCAGCGGCAGTAATGGGCACAAATTCATCAGCTACTCCTAACGCCAGAGGCCAGTTCGTTGTAGAATAAAACAACAAACTCGTCATGACGAAAAACAAAAACTTAAGCTATGGTCAATTACCATCCAATCTCTGGGCTGGGCGCTGGGCAAAGCGTAAACAAGACCAGAAACTTTATTTTTAAATAAGAAATAGAAGATTATTGTCAGTTTTCATGTGATATCGGGAAAGTTCAAGAAAAAATTCTATGTGGTACGCTGCAAGATTCTTAATAGGATATAGATTTAAAACCCTCACAAAAAAGGATAAAAACCATTTTTAATACATCAGGATCTTCAAAAAGGATACAAAAATCAACGGCTGTTTTGAGGAGGAGGCTGCCAATTAGCAATAAGGCCATTCAAGTAAGGTCTAACAATTAATTTTTTAAGACCGTGTATCTATTTGAATTGATAATATCGCTTGACACGCACTTACTACAAATTTTTTTGTGATTTGTATTTCGAGAATAACTAGCGGGTAATTTAGATCCCAAACATCAACTATAATCGCGATGAATAGTGGTTATACTGAATAATCGTGACCGTCAACAGTGACACTTATAACACATATTAAAAATGTATGTCTTTGTCTGGATACGGCCTCAAAAACAAAGCATAAGAGAAATTTTTAATTTAAACGAACTATCCCTGGCCCACCCCAAATGCTTATTTTTTTTAATATTAAAATTTATAAGAAATTTAATAGCGTAGAGTGCTACGACTCTGCTGTCTTTCTGTGCACCACGCTATTCAAGCATATGTCCTACGGTATGAGTTTGTGTGATATCGTCTACTGAGGCCTCTAAAGCGGACACGAGTACAGCTTTCGCTTGGCTCATAATACAACTTATTAACATACACAGAATGGTAAAAGCCGTGGACTCCGTAGCAGAATGCCGCACAACGATTCTTTCTATGTAATTCCATCCATGTTCCGCCCACGATGGCGCCAGTAGCGCCAAGGAAAAAATTGGGTCGACCTCAACCAATAATTTCTCCCTTCGCCAGATGGATTTCAGGTAGGTGGCCGGTTTCGGAAGCCAAACTGGAATTAGAAATTCTCAACAGACAGCAGCGTGTCTTCTAGCAAATACGTGTAACGGTTAAACCAGAATGTGCACGGGCCCAGTGCTCCTTGGGAAAAACAGGCTTCATCTGATCTAGCCTACACATTTGGGTTGTGTCGAGGTTCATGTCATATGAGTCTACCGGTACCATTTGATGCTTTTTCGAATCCGCTTTAAAATAGATGAATAAACCATAGATGAACTTCCTGGTGCCTGTTGTGCTTGTAACGACTTACATGATATCCTTAAACACACTAAATCGTTTCATCTAGGCTTACATCCTAATATTGTTACCAATCGACAATGCCTTGTTGAACTCAATAACTTAATACTTACTTAAGGTATGGCAAATAAAAAGACAAGAATCCCTTATCTCTCACTTTTTCATATATATATATATATATATATATATATATATATATATATATATATATATATAAAGGGAAAGGCATATATAAATTACATCTTAAACAAAGTATGGATAGGTAACTCACATACATTTACAATTGTTTAAATTTTATACATTTTAGCCACTATTGGATGCGGATATTACAATATTTAGTCGAATATAAATGTTTACTTTCTAACCTTTTGTCGTCCGATCTCTTTGTCAAGAGCCGAAAGTTGTTGCCGGAATTGTTTAGCCTTTTCATCGTCACTCAGCTGCATACGGGTCAGCTCAAGGTGAAGAGACTGAATTTTCTTGTGTGCATGATAAATCAGTACGTTCAAATCTTCTGGCGTTAGCTTGTTAAGATCAGCAAATGATCGGTCTTGTGGCAAGAGTGCATTAACCTCTTCAATGAGTTGTTTCTTTCCCTCTGCAATGAAAAACAGTCGAAAATTTGGGTGGCTAACTTCGAACTTACGCATATTTATCCATTTTATAAAAAAAAAAAAGCTATAGAGACTGACTGTAAACTTCACGGGCAGAAGCTTTAAAAATGTCACGTCTCTCAATGGGAGTTACATTCATCGCAGTATTTTCGGTTTCCTCAAATACCTTCGATGCCCGCGCTAAACTTCTGAGCAAGGTTAAGTTTCTTAAGCGATTCATCAGCCCGTGCCGAAGCGCCGTCAATCTTCTCTCGCAGCTTAGTCAGATTCCGTTCAGCCTGGTCAAGATTTATGTTGTCGGTTGTAGTGGGGTCAGCGCGACCCTTGTGAATAGTCTCTTCTAGCCTATATTATAACAGAACAGATAAATGGGATAGTTGTCCAGTAAATTAATAGAATGATCGAATACATTCTAACCACCAGTTTAGCATATAGTGTACAGAAGAATCCAAAGCATGAAAACTACTTCAAGGAGGGCTGCCTTCATGATCTTGACTATAGGCAATGGTTATTATTTGAACAATGAGATTTACCTTAGCAGTGCCTTATTAGCATCTGCCATTTTGGAATTGGCCTTCTTTTGAGAAGCACTCTGGCTTTCCTTGGCTTCGTTCGCAGCCACCCACATGTGATGATCGTCACTGCCTAGAATTGCAAGAGTCAAATCAGTAAACATACACAGTGCAGGTCGGCTTGATGCGACGAGAGAACTTCAATAAAAAAACTCATACCTCGGAAAACACATTTTTGTTTAAACATAAAAAGTTCGACCGAAAAATTGTGACACGCATCTAACCCTGCTAAGTCACACCGAACTAGAATGGAAAGTCCCCGCTTTTGAACGGTTGACTCCAACGGCCAACAGATGTGTATCTGATAGCGGTAGCCTTTTCTTTTTAACGAAATGCACACTATATGAAAATCATTATCATATCTTTCTACATTGACTTACCAGCAGCCTCGTCAAGGGCTCGCGTTAGTTTTGTTGCATAATCTTCTGTCCTTTCAGCGGCAATGTCCAGTTCCGAGGAAGCTTCAACGGCTGCACGTTCAGCATTGGTCCCAGCATCACGAAGAGCTTGTTCCAGAATGAAGTTCTGCTTTTGACGGCGAAGTTCTCTTTCTTTTGTTGAATCGCCCGCTGTGGCCGACGCAGATTTAACAGTGTCGTCTAAAAGCATAAAAACGAAATGAAACAAATATCAGAAGGCGCATACTACAGGATTTCGCTATATAACGCGTATAGCCTATGAACATATGCAAACCAAACCCAGCCTTTCTGAATTGTAATCGTGTATTTTTATTACTTCTAATGGCAAGGCTAGAATGGCAGCACACATTTCAAATCCTCATTTGCAGATTTGAGCACGAAATTTCTCAACAAAAAACCCCGCAAAAGGAATTCATGCGGAGGATTTTTAAACAATATATTTACAGAACTATTCGATGCTCACAGAAGTATTGCTGCACCCATAAATTATTAACGTGTCGCATATGTATTACCTAATACAATCCACTAATAATACCAATAACCAATGGTTGAAATAACTGACCTTAGCAAGACATCTAAACACCACTGCTAAAAAGCAGCAAGAAACTTCGTATTTTATTCACTTCGTATTTTTAATTTTTATTTATTATTTGTTAATAATATAATAATTATTATATAATTTATAATTACTAAATTATATTTATATTTTAGTATATTAAATTATTCTTACAAAATTCTTACAAATGTTTTGTATGTGTTGTTGAATAGAACTAGCAAGCTGCACAAAGTATAATGTCAATAATAAATAATATATATTATTGACATAATAATAATATATATATATATATATATATATATATATATATATAATAAAAGTATAATGTCTATATATATATATATGACATTATACTTTGTACAATTTCATACTTTTATTCGACAGAACGGTGATATATTCATTACTATTTAAGTTTTGCACATTATCAAATCCTACATATAACACATTTTGTTGAGGGCTCCTGGTAGTCCGTTACATTTTTTTCGTGCTTTATCTGAACTACCACGTTCGGCTAACATCCCGCGCCATAAGTCCATAAATGCGAACTAAACTATTTTTATTCTAAATCAACTTTTCGCAAAATTCTGCGAAACACGATATCCACTTTCAGTTCAGTAATAAGTAAGTTCAAGAAGCAGTGAAGGAAAGTTACTTAGCGAATTTTATTGCAACTTGGTAAGCTCTTTGCCATTTAACATTTCTCCTTATGGTAGTCTCAGTCGCATACAAAACAAAACTGAGTCCGGTATGGCAGTAACAGTAGATGTCTTTACGGGGCGCTTGGTGATAGTTAATAGGTGCCGGTTCCGGGATAATGCGATAGATCCCGATATTACGATCGTGGTTTTGCCAGGTTGCAAGTTACGCACCTACTGCACATTGAATTTTCAAATTGAGTCTTGTTCGAAACAAAATATTCAAATAAATAAAGAAGAGTAATAACTGTCGTCCATAAATTAATTACTAAAAATCCGCACTTACGTAGCCTGAACCACAGCCAAATAAGTCCTAATTATTTGTATTTAATACTTGTATTAAAGAAATAGATTCAAATACAATACCATTATCCATTATTGCAGACTGGTCCCCTGTCAATAAATAACAGAAAGTTATGATTGCTTAATTTTAATATTAAACATACGCCTCGCAAAGAATGACCACAACATAGATGAACTAACTAGGCCTTTATTAAGTCTATTATCAAAAAACAAACTCCACGCTATTTTAAATGTGCATGGGGAAAATATGGTATATATGAGATATAGACCCGAATGGCAGAACCATACAACTTTTGTGGCGTATAGAGGGTATGTCCATTGAGTAACAAGGCATTAAGGAGCTTTCCAAATTATGTTCAAAACAAATTCTGTATTTGGAGCTGCGATATTATCAGGTACATGTCCTCACGGAAGTAAAATGAATAATTCCTTGTTAAAAGTTGTTACCCAGACAAGTGCGTCCTGATCTCCGCCCAAGTGGATACTTCCTTATGAATCAGCAAAACCTGTGAGATATGGTTTTATCAAAGGAGGGAGCGGTAAGAGTAATAGTAATGTGCTGCCAACTTTTTTTTTTATAAGTTTATTATGACTCAAGATCACGCATATTCCATGGGCTTCTACAACTTATGAATTATTAGCGTTATTAGCGTGACGATACTAAGTCAATAGCCACGATATGGCAATGCCAAAAGCGCCTTCAAGTTTGATATACAATTTAATCGAAACCAGTAAGAGCAAACAGATGTTTAAATGTTTAAAATTACGAACGTACGTATTTAAAAAAAGTAAACAACAGATACAAAAAGGATACAAAAGGAAACAACATACTAACCACTTCTGGCTGACTTTTTAAGTTCCTGATCTTTTGGTGTTTCTACTTTCGGCTTGCTCTTCAAGAGAGATGACTGTTCTGAGGACGTCCCTTTGACAGGAGCGGGTTTGCCCTTAGACGACGACGCAATACTGCCTCCTGTAGTGTCACAGCCCAGAGCTGTGAGAACTGGTTCGATCGCAGGTACGGCATCTTTTAGTGTCTTCGCAAACCCAGCATCTATCCTTGCATAGCCAAGCGTGCCAACTCCTATGAACAAATAAAAATTTTCGCGAAACCTCGTAAAATGAAATAATAACTAGTTAAAAGCAGTAGAAAGAAGAGAAATCTCAGTGTAGTTTTTTAAATCGCAATAAAAACCATGCGATACTTTGTACCCTAATATCTTTAGGCAGAGCTATATTAGAGTAGAAGATCATCATAGATGGATTTTTAATATGACTGCTTGATTATCGTCTATCAAAGCCCATCCTTTTGATGTAGGGGTCTGTGCAGCTTATAGCACCAATAGCCTTTAGTACAAGTATCGCACATGTTTTAGTGTCATTTCTGCTAAGCGCACTACTGCTAAGTTCGAGTTTTAAGCAATGGAGCCTAGAAAGAGTTTCGTTATTTCCAATAATCCATTTCCACCTATCATACACACCAAGCTAAAAATTGCAATAAAAAATATAGCTATTATAATAGCTATTTCGGAAACAATAACAACGTTACCCTTGTAGTGTTTAATAGTACCACTTGGATAGGGGGTCGTATACATATGCAATGAATGAATTGGACGTGAAAACCAGAACAGCAAGTGTTACTTCACTCTTTATATATGATCATAATAAAAAACAAAGTCAAAGGGACCACGTAAATATGACTTTGTTCGGCGGACTTTGGCCAGTAGGGTCGTCTATTCTCACTTGCTTAATTCAAACACAATCATTGTTTTTTTGCTAAATATTGCCTCATTATGTGATCGGTGGTCCGACTTTTCAGTTTAGAACGGCTTCGTCCTATTTTCAAACTATTCTTTTATAAATAAAGCCTAAGAATTTTCATTCTTCAGGACAGGATCTAAAAGCAAACGATTCTTTTCAATTCTCGTAGGCTCTGAACAAATCGTCGGCTACAGGTATGACGTACTTGTATAGATTTTCCCTAATAGCCTATTTTCCTCACCCTTGATGGTCACTTTTTGTACTGTAGCTGCAAGATCAATTCATGGATGAGTATGTAGTACAGAAGATTACGACGTGCCGATAGTTAGTACGCAAGTTCAACTTACTAGGGAACAGGAACTGCTTGTCTGAAGCAATGCCTACGGACAGGATCGTGCGTGAGGTTCAAATATTCATCTTGCTTTCTGCAAACTGGTTACTAAACTAGTCAATAGAACTACTGAAAGCTCTAGCATGAACTGAACGTGAAGCATTGTCGAAAGTTTCATGTTTTGCTGAAACGAGCTGTCTGTCATCCACAGGCATTTTCTAAGCGTCTATATTTAGTGTTTGCCACTACAGGGCGGTAGAGAAATGAAACGAATGGACTTTCGGTCTCAGCTTGAGCAGAAGCAATACTACATTACCAGAGAAGCCGTACATTAAATTAAAACAGATAACAACTTGGACGTAGTAATAATATTACTATCTCGAATAGTCCAGCAGATGCGCGACTGATGCATTAAAACAGATTATCAAATCATCGCGTTACGAATTCCCAAGTTACGAAAAGATTACTGCTGTCCCTGATTTTCGTGCGGGACTAGTTCCTTTAACTCACACATCGCCCATTGTTAATTAGGAATTATTCCAATGTCATTACGCCTAGTAGTTGACTAGAGACATCTATCAATTTTTGCTATTTACGCCGTACAAATTTCGTTTTACGTACCGACAACTGTTGCCCCCAAGAAGACCTTTCCCATGGTACCTCCTGCAAGACCATTATAGGCATAGCTACTCTTTGCCCGGCTGGGGGCACTGCCTGCGACTGATAAACGGTTAGTCGCAGCCCGTGCTGACGTCCAACCATTCTTCAAGATTGCGGCCCGTAGCATTATAGCGATAGGTATACTCTCAGCTTTGATTCAGATTCTTATTGTAAACCTCCTGTATTTTCGGGGTTGTCACTGCACTTACACGATCCACATCTACGGATGTACACAAGCACGTAATTCCTTCTTTCGACCTAAAAGTCGAAAACTTTTGTTGTGGTTTAAGGGGGGCGAACCGACATCCAAGGTGAAGTTATCTACCCGGCGAAATCGACCTGGGCTGAACTACTCCCCGGATCCCTGCTATTCGATATGCGGTAAGCACACGACTTTGACCCAGCAGGGGCGACCGACACTAGATGTCGCGGCGGTAGACCGAAAATCAGAAGTTCGTTGATAACAAACGTTAATTAACCACAATCAACTTCAGTACAACCTTTGATACCCGATAGAACTATCGCTGGCGACAAACTCGAAATCGCAAGACAGCTTTTTTAGTTCGACAATTTATCTGCAATCGTTATTGCCTCAAAATTGATTCGAATGCTGTCCCGACGAGCAAGTCGCGCGATAAATTCGAAATTTTCAAATCAGTGATGCGAACGATTTTACCTTACATAATAGTATCGACTAACGCATGAAAATTTTTAAAGAGGTGTATAGCATAAGCCAAATCAACAATGGAAATAATCAATTAATCCGCCTTTATTGTATTGCCTCCTACAAGTTTGTGGCAATAGCTGTAGGCTGGTGAGAACTATTGTCATAAGATTGACATCAAGAAGCAGAAAATTTATTTGTTTTAAATTTAAACAACTATAAATTTTATCACCTTTGTCAAGCATTCATACAATAACCAGATGTAAATGAATGTTTAGTACAATTTAAGTCTATAGTTTCAACCCTAATCATAATAAATACTGTCTCCTACAAATATTACTACTATTTCTTAATATTAACGGTTGCAGAGTATTTCCTTCATTACTTCCTTGTTCATTACAGTTTAGGTTCCACCCATAAGCATGTACGACTTCAAAGCGAAATCTTTTTGGTACGCTTAAGTTTACATACTACGCTAAAGAAATCAATAACTTTGGATATCATTTACTGTCGAGCCTTAGTTTTATTCTATACGTTTTATGCCTCCACAATATTCATTAGGTAATGTCGATTACCTAGCTAAGCGCTGGTCAGTGCTTGAAACCACAACCTTGTATTATCTGTTACGAGATTTGCCCTCAAATTAGTGTGGGTGTGCAAATCTCCATCTTGCAAATTTATAAATTGAAAAGCAAGCTTTTAAATAACAACAACGATGTTGAATTAGTCTGGATGAAGTAAATACTTCATAGCAGGTTCCATTTAGGCCTACTCTCCTAAAATATCTTTATCGCAAATTATGTTTCGTTTCGTTTTTTCAGTTTAAGTAGAACATAATGTAAATAATCACGTGATGGCGGGATAACAATTTGGTTGGTCTCTACGGATAGTCCAGAGGTGCAGCCTAGGCTCTATTTTTGTCTACTACGAACCCCTAAACAACCTTACCTTGTGTAATTTCACGCGCTCATGCCTCTCCCTTTCAAAACAAACTGCCATCAGTAGCTTTTGCAATATACATAAAAGTATTTTGTTCTTTTTATACAAACAACTACTTCATAAAATGATTGCCATCCTTAAGCAGTTTTAATGTTTTCGTAATTTTATTGCGATCTATGCTCTAACGAAGCTGAAATCGTTGCTGGCAACTTAGCAAATTACAAACACACTTAATGAACTAAGAAAAAACGATTGACATGTGAATACTTTATAAACATCATCTGAACACCTAATATATTGAATAAGTATCATTCAAATGTAATATTGTAAACAAACTTTATTATGTTTTATTCGTTTGTTTCGCACCCCATTTCGCACTTTCTCATTTAAAGCTTCCCCATTTTTAATTAAGTGGTGAAAAAATACATAGTAATTAGTTCCTTAAACACAATATGCATGGAAATGTGTTTTGGATCTATACGTTCATATATAGTAATATTAGTAGTAACTAGTTTGCAACTTTGCCTGGCCAGCTGATGGTACTTCATCACTGTGTTATAGGTTAGCTTCGGCCAGATGATGAGACCAATCTTGATAATTATCGAAATCTGGTTTCGTGTCGCACTGGTAGAATTCCTTTGCTTCATGTATATTTTTCGCCCAAGCAGCAATCGCTTATTCAAAGATGATAACAGGAGACCTAGTCTTCATCCCAATCTTTATTTTCTTTGGGCTTAGGTCCACCAGCGGGTTTGGCCATGATCATCTCATCAACCTTCAACACCGTCGCAGCCGCATCGACCGCATACTTAAGAGCCCATTGTTTCGTTAAGAGTAGGTCGAAAATGCCTGCTTCAACGGCATCGATTAGATATCCTTTATCATAATCACCGTCAATATTGAAGCCAGTGTTTGTCTTGCCTTCATGATGAGCAGCCTGCATTTTGGTCAGTACGTCCATGTGCTTCACGCCCGAATTCTCGCACAAAGCCTTTGGAACGCACTCAAGAGCCTCAGCAAACTTCTTCACGGCATATTGCTCTAATCCTGGCAACGTATCACCATATGCCTGGATTCGTCGGGCCAGTTCAACTTCAAATGCGCCTGCACCTGCGAGGAGTCGACCATCTCTCGAGAGAGCTTTGAAATTATTCACTCCATCATCAATCGCACGCTCCACATCGTCCATGTAATTGTCTGTCGAGCCACGAATAATCACTGATGAAATCCGGCTTTCTTGTCCCTCCTGACGGAAGACGACAACAGGCGTATCACCAATCTCATCCACATAGACCAAATCACAGAGACCGAGGTCCTCTTGTGTAGGTGTGCACATCTTTGGCAAAGGGGTTGCATTGACAATTTTGCACACACGACGTACGTCGAACTTTGACGGAAGTCGAACTACCATTAGGTCATACTTGTTTAAATAGTGAAGAGCCAACTCGCCAACCTTACCTCCGGTGACAACGACTTTACACCCTGTGTCAGAAATAGCTTTTACCTGGGCCTCCAGCATATCTTCCTCGCCCTTACTGAAATCCTGCAGCTCTTGCGCGGTTTTAATTAATACGGTGCCTTTCGTCTCCGTCTGCATCGAGTCGAATGGGCAGGTGTAAACGACGACCTTGGCTGAACCCTGTTTCGTAACATCGCCTTCGACAGTGCGCTTGAAGACCATTCCTTGGATGACGCTGCTCTGGGTGATGCCCGACCCGAGAATCTTGCAAACGCGCACATTGTCGACATTAAACGCAGTCTCTTCTGGCAGAATAGAGATGCAAGCTTTCGCCACCAAATCGACCAGGAAGTCCTCATGACCCAGTTGCTTAGACATTATAGCAGCGCGTATGGCTTTCTTTACCTCCGCTTGGTTCCTGTAGTCTTTAACCTCGCTAACAGTTAATTCAGGCAAAATGCTCAATGCCTTTTTGAGCGCAAGTTCGTATCCCTCTGCAACTTCTACTGGCTTAATACCCATCCTTAAAAGCTCGTCGGCTCCGCTAAGTAGTGCTGACGCAATCATCAAAACTTGATTTGTGCCATCCCCTACCTCTGACTCTTGCATCTGCAAAAGAAGTAAAACGACTCTTAGCATCATAAAACTTCACGTATATTGAATATGCTCTAAAGGAAACCGTAGATAACAGTTATCCAAAAACAACCTACTTGTGAAGCCATAACGAGCATCTTAGCCGCTGGGTGTTGAACCTCAAGCTCTTTGAGAATACAAGCAGCATCATTGGTCACGAACAGCTTTTCAATGTGATTGATCACCATTTTATTTAACCCGTTCGGACCGAACGCCGAACTTAACGTTTGACCCAACTCTCCACACGCTTCAATGTTACGAAGTACAGCCTCCTCTAGGCCGGAGAAGTGTTGAGCGCCTTCCTTTAGCATCGATTTGAGTCCTGCATACCAAAATAAGATACATCATATGAACTAAGACATATCTATAATGTAAATCGCAATATTCTCATTTAGGCTGTACCCAAGATGTAAAATAATCAATTTGGGGTACTTGATATCCACATTGATCCAAGCCTGCAGACCCTGAAAAATCACGTATAGCGCTGCTGCTATATTAGGTTTGCGTCACGAATGGAAGTTACATTTGAACTGACTATTAGGCGAAAAAAAATTGCGTACCCGATGAAATATTGCTTGACTTAGATCTTAATTTCCATACGATCATCCATAAAATAACCGAATGTTGAATTTCACATACGTAATGCCCTCACAAGAGATTAGCACAATAGATATGCCAGTGGCTATATAATGACAACTCGAGTTATTCCATTTATTAACAAGTCTTTACAGTACTATCCTATAGATCAGGATAAGCGTCTACGTATGACAGCTGACCATAGCATTGCATTTGAGAAGTAATTAGAACGCGGTAAATCGCCAAACCTAGATTTGTATGTATGAAGCGGCAAGAACCAGATATGAATTATGGGATCAAAACGCGCTCCTCAGAGAATCGCTAGCTTGCGGACAGCAGATATAGATAAGTAAGGTTGTGCCCCTTATCAGTATTATTATTATTATTACTGAATTATTGGTAAATACTCAATGAAGATCCTTGAATCAGTAGGTTTTCATCAGTTGAGGTTAATTTTTATGACTCTCAGTACAGCCCACTAAGAAACGGAAGGCAATCCTGATACACTTGTTGAAGCAATCAAGTGTTCCGAACCGAATTCATTACCATGACCAAATTTCGTTCCATCCGAAAATAGCGCCTATGCTTGAATGCTAACCTTAGCGCCTATGCTTGAATGCTAACCTTAGCGCCTATGCTTGAATGCTAACCTTAGCTGCTCGTGAGGAAGCAGGATGCTAAAACCTTTCTGCTTACTAGTTTCTTTCAGCATCTCAACGTTTTACGATTCTTCTTAATATTTGAACGTTGCATTAGTTACACGAAGACATACCCATCTCGGTCACGGCGGTTTAACGTCGTGAAGTCTTTGACCCAGAATTCGGTAAACTGTGATACTTCGTTTGTATAACACATACAGACATTATATAGAATACGCAGAATTGGACATTAGTTTTGTCGAGCACTCTGACACCGTACCGATCTCATAAAAATTGAAAATAGCACTAGTGATAAACGCTGTTACGAAGAGACCTTTAAGTCTTAATTTTTACTAGTATTCATTGAACTTTCAGGACTCGATTCAAGTTTTTCGAGGATATTCTATGCCTCAAACGGCGAAAGCGTCGCGCTGCTTCATCTCGAATCCTGTGAAATAGGGTGTAGCCTACATGAGGATTGGCATCTGCATAATTTATGCTCTTTGCCATCAAACTGCTTCGAAAATTTACCTGGAGCGCTCTTCATGGCTGACATGATTTTTGACGCTAACGAATTAACACGAAATGACAGGTAGATGAAGTTATCTCACACGTGCCGGTTCAAGGCTACACGAATCCTGCCTTTTTTATCGGTACAACAGCAGACGACGTCCAATTATTAACACAAATCGTTTAGCGCGGTGTTTACTGGGGGCGTTGCGATCGTCAAGTTAAGGCGGATCTACATGCATTGCGCTGAAAAAAAAACAGAGGTAGCAGAATTTGTTGTATTAACAAATAAACACCTTTTCAACAACGATCTCGGTAGTAGGCAATCTGTAAATGATGAAATATGAAAATAATGAGCATTTTGATAGTGGACATGGAACATGTTTAGTGTTAGGTTTCGAAGAACTGCCCAGACGTCGACCATTTTCGAAAAATGCAGAGCAAATATGACGAACAATCGGAACTTATGAAGTGCATGGTGCTGAAGCAAAACACTGACTCTGCCGAAAAGAACAGTGCAAGATGGCGGACGTACTCGATCTTCAAGGCGAAGCCGGAGAATTTGAGGATGAAGTTGAGGACGACGAACGTAAGTGGTTTGTTTATAATCAGGAATATTTAGTCTTAATATAAAAAAAAAACGCCTCATAAGTTGGTGTATCTTATGACTGTTATTCAGTTCCGACACGATCAGAACGTACGGTACGATTGTACTATTCTCACCGTGTTCGTTTGCTAATGGACAACATGTTAGGAAGGTGACTGTTTCTAGGAACGTTAGCTAAATGCGGTGTAGAAAATTTAACTTCTTTTTAACGTTTTTGTAGTGTAATTATGTTGAGTGGCAGTTGACCGTCCAGCTATGACTAAATATTTCTGTTTTTTAAACTTAGTTGTTAGGATATGGTTGCTTATAAATAAGTGAATAACTAGCACATCCGTGGCTATTAAATATGGTTATATTTAGCAATGACAACGTAACCTTTTGTACGAACAGTCTTCATACAATTGAAATTTTCTGTACTTGATTACTTCTTGAAACTGAACGTTCATCTTTACAAAACGCGTTAGAGGACTCCGTAGTAACCTATCATTTACGTTAACGTAAACGGTCATTAGCCACTCCTGATAGGAGATCTCAAACCACGGATACTCATAGAACGTGTATAAGTGAGCTCGATTAATACGTGACGAAGGTCATTATAAATCCGAATCTAGCCCGTTGAAGCTTAACCAAGAAGTTCTGATTTAATTTCAATTGTTAGAAAAATTACAAATTTCTAGCTTGCTTGGTTCATATAAAACTCAGCACATTGACAGCAATTTTTATAAATGAATCTTACTTCGTTTTTTAGAACATGTCAACAAGTTGAAGGAGCGTGCGACTCGTCGCAAGGGTCGCGGTTTCACTGGTGACGGAACCGCCCGCGAAGACATTCGACATTACGAAGCTGTTGGCAATGATGAACAGCAGGATAACAAAAGGGACAGCGGCCCAGGACCTCAAAGGTAAAGCTGAAAATATCTTCTTAACTATTTGTTAACCATTGTTCCGCTGATTAAATATTCTGATGCAGTTCCTGGATTGTAATAGTATATATATATCCGTGTCTGTGGCTTCGCATACTTCAAATACATATTTCCTTTTTTGTTTGCTATATAAAAGGTCAATCATATGTAATGCATTGCATATTTTCATCCATGAAACTGCTCCTCCAAATGTTTAATGCTTTTTGGTATTCTCGTTATATAGGTCAGTGGAAGGCTGGATCTTGGTGGTTACGGGCGTTAATGAAGAGGCACAGGAGGACGATATCTACCAGAAATTTGCTGATTACGGAGAAATAAAAAATCTCCATCTCAACCTTGATCGAAGAACCGGTTTTCTTAAAGGTTAGTTCGCTTAAGGGTAGTTAGCTTTTAGACACACGCATTTACGCAAATTGTATAAAACTTAAATCAACTGATCTATAAATAAGAAAAAATGTAAAGTGTTTTACAACGCTTACTTTGCGTTGTAAAAACAAGCGTTCAAACTCTCAGTGTCGAGTACTAATGTGGTTGGAACATGTATTTGACATCGATTTCAGGATACGCGTTGGTTGAGTTCAGCACGTTCAAGGAAGCTCAAAAAGCTCGTGAAGAGTTAAACGGCTCAAGTATCTACGATCAGGAAATTAAAGTTGACTGGTGCTTTGTTAAGGGCCCGACCAAAAAACGCAGTGGGAAGTCACGACGATAGATAATCTTTTCTGGCCTACACATTATATCTCAACGCCTCATAGATACACCAACAAGATTTACGAAGGAGACGTATAATCTCGTTCTGTAGAATTGCTGCTTGTTCAGATCTAATGGTGAACGCAGGCATGGCCTTTCATTTTGTATAAGTATAGATGCCGTGTACGCCAGAAAAGGGGCAAGAGGTCCTTCATTTCGTACGTTTCGTTTTTTTTTTACGGACGAAGTTTCCGTGCGATGTAAATCCAAGAACAACACAGCATTGTGTATCATAGATCATTTTCTTTATTTATAAATATGTTACAATGTACAATGCATGGAACTTAATCGGTCAAAAGCTAATAAATTCATTATTGTATATTCGCGTATTGATCCCAGTTTACTGCGAACACGCAGGTAGATGAACATTACGAATCTATACAAAAGCCTTATAAGGGGTTATAACGTAGGACTGGAGCAAAATGCGGTAACATAGATGCTGCAGGCTGACAACTATGCGATGAACGCCGGAGGGCTCGCCTAGCTCGCAATCCAAAAAAAAACAGTGCTGTAACAGTATATGCAATCAGAACAGCCGCTGTTTATACGAAGCCACATGGGGCGCATAATATTAACTGAGGCTTTGCGAGTTAGCAGCCAGGTTTAGGTAGCGAGGTAAGCGGTTGTTCGTAGTAGGCAGCAGTTGATTTCTACATACAATGTATCGATGTAACAACGTGATAGATATATTTGTAAGTAAATGCACTATAGGGAATTAGCGGTAAACGGAGTACGGATTGGCAACGCGAAAAAAAAGGAATGAGCAACTACGTATACTGTCATATAAGGAGATGCAGAAATATATATACATGTATAAAAAGTCCAAAGAATGATATCCCTAGTGTTTTGCTTTCACTTCGTCGAATAAACACTTAGAATTTCGAAGCAGGACGATAGCAGTTTTTTTAATGTCCATCTGTTGCAACAAATTTAATTATTCTAAAGTCAACAACGCAGACAGATTAGCTAACAACAGTATACAGAAAGGACCTGCACTGACCTTTTTAATCGTTGAATAAAATATGTGACCTATATTGTATTGATTATTCCTGGCCTTATGATGCTAACGCTATACTTTCGTTTTTCTACTTTTCTAAACTAACGGACTTCCAACAAGCCACCGCAGCTAGACGATGTGAGACTTAATTGTAGCATTATGCGTTTCTGCCACAGATTTCTACTTTTTTAAGTTTCCGAGGCATTCGAATGTACAATATTCTCATTTACACTCTAATATTATGGATTCTATTGTATAGACACAAAAAAGGATGGCTATATCTACATTAGTTTGTATGCAAACACTTGATTTCTAAATAGGTGATGATGCTTTACATGAATATAAAGGAGAAGATTATTCATTCCGCCTAACATCTGAGTTTTCCTTACTCATAAACACCGCTTCATCCAAATACATAACATGCAGGTTAACTGTGAACTGGGCAATAAGGAATGATTCGGTCCAAATGGTGGATGCACTTGTAGAATGCAAGCACAAAAATTCAATATCCAATTCCATTCTTAGAATTGGTTTTTTGAATGGTGATCCAATTTTAAGCTTGGAAGAAAATGATGACAATACCAAAATTAATACGAGTTTTTAGTGGTGGGTAATTTAAACAGTGAAGATATTGATTTAGAAATTTGGTACTTGTGTTTCGGTAAAGAAATTTTGTATTTTATCTGAGAACGAGGACGCGTGGTGCAACAGCATATATCTTATATAATAAGATGGTCGCCTTGCTACTGTAGGACGACAGATATGATATCAGTATGGTTCAATCTACAACCTTTCAGAATTAAGTTTTTATTAGTCAACGAAAAATTGATTGATAGTCAAAAATCCAACATAAGCATTAGAATACTTAATTTGTTTCTTTAACTATGTTTTTATTTCGCAAAAAGTACAATTTAACACCTTTCATTCACTTATTAAGTGGTTGACAGAAATTAATCGTTTAAAAAGAGCGTAAAAATGTATTATAATATATGTGCACTATTTTTAGGTATTCCTCTATTTTATGTATTCCATACAGCTATTTTCATTTACTGTACATACACAAAGCACTCGACAAGACTATTTGAAATAACCTTATTAGTCCTCTATATATAGAACACCTTGTGCCGGCCAACTGCTTAATGATCTAAATTATAGACTGAGCTTGATGTTTCTATATCCAACGACGTCCTTGCAGCGCGCCTCATTTACCGCGACATATCCCTTTTTTACAGTAGGATCTAACTGACCGAAACCATCGTCCACAAATGTCTGAAGGTAATCCCACAATAGGTTTCCTCTCATATCATGGGCAAACTTCCGCGGGCATAGACCAGCCTTTTCTCTTTTCGCTTCTTCGCGTTCAACTTCTTTGCGCATTTCGGTCTCGTCGGGAAGTTTCATCTCTCCTGTGAAAACCTCAATTGCTAAGCGAACCTGGTAGTCGAACACCACAAAGGGTACAATACAACTTGGTAACCCAATAAATGTTATTGTTGGGTTGGTGATTAGGATAGTGTGACGGTAAAGATCACGCACTCTGTATCCATCATCAACATTTACCAAGTCGTTAAGAAACGGAGCAGAAATTTTGTAGCCCGTGCAAAATAGCAGGCAGTCCAGGCCACTCAGAATGTCACCCGAAGCAAAGTGCATTCGATCTCGAGACACGCGTTTTAACAGGCTTTTTTCAGTTACATTGGGAAGTTTTAGTGGGGCCTTCAGTCCATGCGAAAGGAAGCATTCTTTAGCTACCGACGAAATTTCCTGGGCAATATCGGTCCCTGAAAATCCGCCACCAACAATGAGTACTCGCTTTCCAACATACTTCTCAGGTGTGCGATAGCCGTGACTGTGTTCGATGGTTCCAGTGAAAGTTTCTAAACCAGGAACGTCAGGCAAACGGGGCACCGTATACTTTCCATTACACACCATTATATGAGTGAAGCTTTCAGTACGTTTATCACCAGTAGCTTCTACCACGTCGACTTCCCAGTGCGAATCGTTTAGCGCTCTGCGAACAGCTACAACTTTGGTGTTGTGCTTGATGTTTCCATACGGTTCAACTTGATTCTTGTAGAAATCATCGAGGTACTTCTTCACCGTCGAATGATGCACGAATGATGGACCTTCTTCAGGAAATGGATGGCCGGGATAACCCATTATCTCTACGGGAAGGTTGGTACGAAGATCTCGATACATGCTTGAGTGTACGCTGTTATCCGCCTGCTCGTTGTAAACCCATGTTCCACCCGGCTGATCAGTTTGTTCGAAAACGACGTACTTGATAAAGGCTCTTCGTAAATTGTAGGCGCAACACAAGCCAGCTGCCCCTGCACCTATCACACAAACACGCATTATAGGAGTGTTCACAGTAACGTCATTCACAGTTACCGTAGGACGCATGCAGAGTTTATTGTTGCAGATTCTAAACTGATATTTCACTCATATTTGTCAGTTGCCTTCAGATAATTCCATGATGAAAAATCTAGAAAATTATTAATTTACAAATGACTGCCAAGTTGTTAGAACAGCAATATTTTTTTTTTATAATAATAAGGATAAGTTTTTTTTCAAGGCGATACGTGTTTCTAATTTTTGCTAAAATCCCACGATGTCGCGAGTGACTACAAACACGACGAGCACAGAAGGTGAACTGTTCTTGATAAAACGCAATGTAGCGTCGGAAAAGGCAGGATGCGAATGTTTCTCTAGGTGACTGCGATTCACCACCACTACCACCATCTCTGATAAAAAATAGGGGATGACGCACTGTAGAGATAGCCAGGAATCAACCCTTGCCAAACGACCTCCGGACAGCAACTCATGAAAAGTGTTTTATGGATAAAGATTAAATATAAGATACGCCGATATCAGGTAGATCTGATAACAGATAACTATTATCCACCAGCATAGCGATCGAATTGGACATTTGGTTCATTGAAAAATGAAATGAAGTGAAAATGGATTGGTGCTAAGCTAATTGAACACTATTATCGCTTTATATACAACGGGACTTTCAAGGGTTGGCAAAACGATCCATTATACTTGCATATCAAGTCATGGCTGCATAGGGGGGATGCTCTTACAGCGGCTCATAATCTGGAAACTTAAATACTGGCCCCAAATTAAAGAACTTTTTTTCTTGTGAGAACGTTGTTAGATCTTCGGGTAAATGATTTTTAATTTCTTCTTTTCTTTATATTGATTAGTAAAACCTCAGACTTTAAGTCTAGGCAGTGGAATCAATTTTCATGACCGAATCAAACCATGCAAACCCGACTGAAATATAATTTATATTGAAAGCTCAATCAAATTTCTTGAGGAAAAACATACATCAAGCTCTATTTGATCATATTAATAATCTTTTCATCGACCCTAATGTAAACTGGTACACTGTGATGAACCCATAACAGAATGACAGTGGACGGCACCTGATCGATTCACAGTCGTGAACACTTGCGCAACAGTAACAGCAATCCTTGGGAAAAATAATAGTAACAGCCTTTTGACATATTGATCGAGAGCCTTCTAAATGATTCATAATGCTTCCTTTCTCAAAAATGTATAACGGTGACCTCTGGCTTGGGTGTCCCCTAATTTTTTTAAAATTAAACGAAAATGTTAGACAGACAGGAGTTTGTATACATAAACAAATCCAAACAATCGTACAGCTGAATCAAAATAAATTAATTATTAAAACACTGTAACGAAGCATAGGGTAATGGAATAGGTATTGTGTGAATCTGAGGGCGTCTACACCCCAAAAACTAAATCTCTTCAGCTTAAGAAGTATGGAACGCTGCATGGAGTTGCCCGCACAATGGCCACTGCCGTATTTTGTATTAATGTGGGTCAATACGGACGCTTTGTAATCAAAGGTATTCAAGGGGATATATGTCAAACACTGCCATAGATTTCGATTTATTGCTTGCCTGAACGAATGCTTAAACATATATTGGCGCACTCAGACAATATGGCATTTAATCGAGGCAACGTCGAAATTCGACAATTAACTATAGGATCTTCTCAAGCAGCTTTACAAAGTACTTTGTGCCATATTTTCTCTTTAAGAAATTAGTTTTTGACCAGACAGATTAGTTAGCGATCAGTCTAGAACTGAGATGTCTCGTTTACATAACTTACATAATCTTACGCGATCCTTTGCTCTGCATTAAAACAGTGCCATGAATCTTAAGAATGGCGACACAACAAAGCTTATGCCCGTACAGATAGGCATGTCGCTCAGACTTACCGATAGGCTTACCCATGTTTACCAATGCTAATTTAGTGAAGTATCGAATACACTTTCAAGAGTGCGCCTGACTTTACCATCAGTGTCCGGAGGGTTATTAAGTAAAACACTGGCCTTGTTTTCAGCATATATAAAACCTTTAGGAAAGAACTTTGCGCAAGAATACCTTGTAACACACTGTCAAACTTCTGGATGATGGTTTTTCCTTCTCGGTATGTTATCCCTTTGTTCACTCTTCAACACTTCAAGAAATTGAGTTGAAGTCTCTTTCAGTTCCCGAATTCTCGTATACCTCATATATATTTAAGAAAGACTTTAAACATTTTGTCTAAGGAGAACCACTGTCCAGGAGAAACAACGTGTCATCTAGAGAAGCTTCTTTAATACACTGGTACAGTAGCAGATTACGTGTCAAGAGACAGCAACATCCACGTGTTAACGAACATACGAAGAAATTTTCCTTTCACCAAACATAAGAGCCGTTGAACTTGAATATGCTTGGTACACTATGGCTTCCGTCTGCTTGGTCATTTCCGACAACAGCATGCCATGTATCCTTATATTAAAAGCATTTCTAAAATTAGGCATTATAAAAACATTTCTTAGTATTTCGCAGAAGACGCGAGCTTTCTAGAGCGCGTTTACTGTGATTTCACCTCACTTACTTGTTGCATATACCGTTTGACATGACTGGATGTGGTTTTTCGCGCTGATGTGCAATAGGAATTCCCTAATAATAATAATAATAATAATGGACCTCATAGACAAAAAAAAAGTACAAGACGGCATTGATTCGTGTGCGTTTTGAAGCATTGGAACCGGGAACTCTAAAATTTCGGGGTGTTTAGCACTACCCTTAGCTCATTTTGAGGGATATAATTGTTTACATAGTTTTCCTATAAACTAAGAGTATATTACAATTGTCCGTTACACCTAGAGCAAACGTATTGTTCTTTCCAGTTGTATGATTACTTAGAATAGAACACCTATTCAAAAAAACACTCAAATTCCAGATTACCGATAGAAACTTATGCGATAGAATCGATCTCGTTCCAAAATACTAATACTTTCAATGAGAAAGCTGTAATTTCATTCGTATGTACCCCATAGTGGCAAGTCTCTAACGTCTTTCTCGGAAAGGACCACGCCAGTGTTGTGGCTCAGTCATGCAGAAGATGGGCGAGATCGAGGCAAGCATATTGCCTGAACTGTTGCGTTGGTGCATAATACTGACCCTGTGGAATTAAATATTTTAAGCGAAGGGATTCAGAAATTTCATATCACCAGGAACGCTCTTGTGGTGTCTTCCGAACGAGGTTAGTGTCCTTATTGATTTCAGAGTGACTTTTATGTTAGCATTAATTAATTGGTCGTTTATCGGTAAGGGCGACATTGTTTTCGCTAAGCTTAAGCATTTTTAATTAATATTCATACATTTGAATCACCTTTATCTGATTTGATCACCTCGCTTAAACGAAGGTAATTGTGTAAGCTGGTGCAAAAACTAAAGGCAACGGGCGAGCGCAATATATTATCAATTAATAAGCATATATATGTTATGTAATACATAAAGTATATTTAAACATAATTAACATACAAAAACCGTGAAGGAGAAGCAAGCAACATAATTTGCTTCGGTAAGTGAGAAGCATATTAGAGGTAGTTTTCATTCAAAGCGCGTACCTTCAGTTATATGCTGGGTTGACCAAATATTACCGGAGCTGCTCTGCTTGATTTATTTTTACTAGACTATTGACTTCTCATGAAAAAAAGTTTTCATGGAAGCTTTCAAATGTGAAAGCTTGTAACTTACCCTCTTGATACATAATGTAACTCAATACCAACCAATAGTTCTTAAACGCATTGGTAGTTATGTACGCTATCATGCCGATACCGAGTTTGATTGCTTAGCACGCAAGACGCATCGAGTTTTACGTATCCATAAACATGGATTCCAAACAAATAGTCTGATGCTTCAGATCTTGAAAACATAGAAGATTTCTCTATGTGGATTCGCTAATTTAGCTTATTCTCACTTTGTTTATGTCTGGATTCTTAAAAAGTTAAGTAAGAATCAGACGCAATGTCACAATCTCCTCCGTTGATACTCGCCTCAGTTTGCTAAAATTTATTGTTTTCGGTGGGTCCATATTGCTATTGTAATCTGGCATCGAAAGGGCAGGTCCATCAGTGCGCTTATAATATGATAAAACATGAGATATGAACTTGCGGTTCGAAGTTTGTCAGAAGTTTCTTTCCACCTACTATAGTGTGCTGTCCCAGCATCTAGAGTTGCAACATTTGTCATGTGCTGTTTTTGCTAACCTTCTCAAAAGCCAAAGTGCAACATTTAAGGGAAGTTCATGACCACGAAATTGTAAACGGTTTTCTTGATCTTGCGAACTTAGCTAGCATGCTACGTATGTTTATATACTCAGGATCTATCTTTGATATAGATGTTGTTATCGAGATATGAAACAAGAATGCAATATCCCGTGCAGATAATTAAACAAACTGTATCGCTGATGCTACCTCTTAGATTAAAAAGAACCTGGTTTTCAGCAACATAGATAATGAAGATTTTTTTACGACGCCGGAGAGATTCAACGGCTTAGTCATCCGACGCAAGAGTAAGATATCGACTCCTGAGAACTACGCTCCAATAAGGAGCATTCGTTTTCCGGCATACTTTTCACGAAGTAATAGCTGTGAATTGTTTCAGGAAACGTTCCTGGATGACGGGTGTTCTCGGCACAGTGTATCTATCACTGCAAACCATCATATACCAATACCACTTAACACAAAGGATTCTTTAAATCGACGTAAATTTTCCAATCTGAAATGCACATTTCCATGCGGCTAAACGTTTTTCTTGCAGAATTCGCCTAAATACGCCTTTACGAATCTAGGATGCACGAATGGAATGTTTTCGGGCAACGGGGAATTTGGATATTATATGATAATTTTCACTGGAGTATTCGAGTGAAAATCACGAAACATACTTCAATGGACATTTTCTTCAGTGCCCTGGTACACTAATGTTCCACCGCTTAGACCTATCAACATAACGTGATCAACGCCAGTCTTCTGTAAATAGTAAGCGGCACAGAAATCAGCTCCGATAACATACCTGCATTGCAAAGGCTAGCCTTAAGACCGTTAAGGACACCAGAATCACAGTCAATCATCATACAGCCTATAGGAAATAGTGGCTTGTCGTCGATAATAGTTCGCGTTAACAGTCAAAGGCAGCCTTGTAATAAGGATTGAACGACGTTACTGTCTCACCAATCTTAAACTAAAAGTATAAATCGTAACTTTCCGCTTCCTCTTTTGGATACTCATTTCGCACGTCCACTGACCAAACACCAAATAAGTCAATTTTATTATCGAGGAGTTACAGAGGTTACCAGTTGCAGATATGGTATATAAGCTACTTCGTTTCAAAAGACACTTCTAGGGGGTGACATCCGACATGAAGCGGTCTCGAACAATTCATGACAAAGCCAAGGTTGGGTAACCGTACTACATTCGACATAGATCGCTCACAATGTCCCTCCCATATTTTACCGCGAGTAATCGAGAGTAAAAGGAAATCAATATTTACTAATCGTACCACTATCAACACGCTTCTTTATTATATTAAGTGAAATCTTGCATAGATATACCGTCAGAATGACAGAAAAAAATACGTTAGACTAAAAATGACCGGATAACGCTACATATAAGTCTTGTATCCGGGGGCGGCACTATACGGCTAGAAAAACAAGTACATTATTGAATTTCGGCAATAGTCTAGCGCAAGTTAAACACGAATCCTCTTCGTTTGTTTGTCCAGAGCATAACTGTTGTATTAAACTGTTGTAAGGCGGCAACTCATCTCACGTATTGAAACCGGCTGTAGCGGTATTCGCCTTTATTCATAATGTTCATAATAGCTAATGCGTACACACAAATGAGATTGATATCTTGCTTGAGAATAGATGAACCGCATCAGAAAAGAAATAATTGAATTAACGGTACTTTTTAAGTTTACTAATACACAGATTATTACTATTTGTAGATCCGACGATTTTCTTTTCGAATTTTTTCACTGTATTCAGTTGATTAAATGAACTAGACGAAAAACTACCAGTAATAAAAAAATATTAATTTAATAAAAAGATTAATTAAAGTGGTAAAGCTCAATCATCATAAGTGAGATGCCTACGGCTCATATTTTCGAACCGTGAATTTGTCGCATACGATCCAATGCATCTGAAGAAAAGCTGTCAAATGTCCATCTGTATAACGTCCTGGTTTACGTCGCTTCGACGAAACGAATAGTATAGTTATATCTTTAGGCAACTATCGAATACTGAAGGCTCGCATAAAAACTGCTAAAGCCTCTTCCGTGACTGCCTGTTAGCTACTCAGCCGAAGGCAATTTTACGGTGTTTCAGCAAAAAATACTGCTGGATGATAACAGACGCGTCCTAGAGAACCATTTAGCAGATAGTTGCGTGTGTATATCAAATCACTGAAGCTAACATTTATAATATTCAAAACGTTTTGTAATATAAAAATCACTGTTTATTTGATTCACAAAAGCAAAGTGTGTTTTACATTTAAATATTTTTCAACTAATTCTTCCATTCAAATATACGACGCAATGAAATAAGGCGAATATTAGTATTGCTACTGATAAAAGCTAAAGGAGAAATGAAGTTCTGAAGGGATTGTCATAATCATTTAAAAATTTGACCCATCACTGACTGTGGAGCACTGGGGTGTTATTATATACATATAGTTATTTGATTCCTTAAAAGTGTAAATCCAAACAATTTTAAACTGAGACTATTGGCTATTCTTTATCTGGTGTGATATTAAATTATTATTTATTAAGCACTAAGGTCCAACGGCATAGTGCCTTATGAATACAGAATAAGAAAAACAACCAAATATGCTATGGATTTTTGAAGCAAGTCATCATCAATTTTGCTGGCTATTCGCTGAATATTAAGATAAATACGAAATCATAAATAGGTAAAAGCTCATATCCGTCGAACAATTTGATTAACAATATGACGCTTCAAGTTGAAACGCAGTTTCCCACCGCGTATCTTCCGTATCAGATTTTGCGTGATGCAATCGCTGACATAAAATTGACGAATCTGTTCGAACCTTTCTTCCAACCCCAGAGCATCATAAATGCCATTAAGTTAAGGCTAAGATAATAAGCCGCTGTGGTTTGGACGTCAGACGCTTTATTTAACATGAAACAACCTTGATGCTCTATGATCGTTAACTGGTAACATAGGGGTTGGACGGCCTTATCCGAACTAACCGGCACCAGCTGTTTATATAACGTTCATGATGTCTTTGTTCTTAGAATCGGTGTAGGAAAGCATAACAGAAAGTGATAGCATCGAGATCAACCACTAACATGTGGACGAACATCACATATTGAAGCGCGCTAGCGTGTAAATGAAGTCTCACTGATGCTCTTCTTGAAGAATCTACCGAAGTAAGAATGGAGAAAACAGAGCACACGTTCAGCTTTCCGGTGCTACTTCAAAATCAGTGCCAAATTTAATAGTCGTTAGCATTTTCTAACTTTAGCTAATTAGTATCTAAAATTATAAGCGCTTTTTATTAATAATTCTTGTTCTTTATTTACATATTCTATTGACTCACATTATATTGTATAAGCGTATTCACGGATTATAACCGGACTCCGTATCTAATAGGAATACGTAGTATTGCAAAATAACAGAGATCGCTACTTTAAGTACCTTCGATAACATAAGTAGTTGACACAATCGGTGTATCTTTAAAGAAAATAGATATAATACCATTGCTTGTCTGAAAAGCATAAACGCTACTACATACGCATCTTCATATCTCGGGGCGCATATTACGCATGCTTTGAATATGGCTTAATGCTATCGATTCTGATTGATAACAGACATACCGCAATTGCTTTCCAGCAATAGTATTTTTGAATTCAAAACTTGAGAGCTTCAAATCAAGTAAATTTCGTTTGTGAATTTCAGCACTGAATGGTTTTTGTGGTTTCAACCCTATCGAACCTTTACAGATTCGAGATGAACCCGTTCGGGTCTGCCCCGAGCTGGGGAGTCACACCCTCGTATTTCCCCTGTTTATGGAATTAAATAATTTTTTACTTTTAGGTGGCAAACAAGAATCTATGTAATAGAGGATAATTCCGTAACGTTATTTAGCGGAGAAGTGCCTAGGCTGCGTTAAGCAAAGAAATGGTAGCCGGCAATTTTTTACGATTTTTTTTGCATTGGAATTGCCCTATGCAAAGTTACGTGCAAAATTCTGATCAACCTTCAGATAGGGACGTGGCTCGCATGATAGTAGTAGCTGTTCGCAAAGGCTTTATTCTGCCATCGTTGTAATATTACTGAATACAATTTGTTGCTATGATTCCTTGCGAAACTCGTTTGTGTGGCTCCTACGCATTGAGGCGACGCTTGGTCTTGACTGAATGTATGGCTAGCTTTGTGTTTTGCGCGGCGCTGTACGTTGCCTTCCCTGCCATATGACTAAGAGAGCCAAACATAAAGCAGACGACCTTTCAGCTACTGTGAACCGTCGCTCATCCCCCTCTGTGTCAGCTGGTAAGTAGTAGCTTTTGCACTTAGACCGCGTTAAAAAAATCATTGCGTAGTATAAATCGGAATACAAATATGATATACGCGATTATATATATATATATATATATATATATATATATATATATATAGTTTAGCTCCTAGTAACGCTTTTTAGGCACGGTTTTGTTTATATGTGATTGGTAAAATGGGTACTTGTATTCCAGTTTTTGACACACACAGTCTAGTATTATCGATACGTTCAAATATTTGTATTCTAGCTTATTTATAGTCATCAAGCGATATGATAATAATGTTTGATATGGTGTTAGTTTGCCGGACCTGCGAAGATTCAAGTTGTCCGTTACCCGGCCTGTATTATCTAAATGGACAAGTATTGCAATAAACCTGGTGACCGTGATTTGTTAGTTCCTTTAAACGACAGTTTGCTATTAAGTGGTAATGGCGGTGTCATCGAAACAAATCATACCATAGGCGTATGCCTAATCGGACTGCATAGTTAAGTTGTTTAAATCTTAAATAAAATAATGTATGAAAAAAATGTTTCGAATTTCAAGGACAACACTTGTTGCATCTCCACACGGTAAACTCATGTCTTAATGAATGTAGATTGAGACATAGTTCATTAGCACTAAATTGCATGCGAATAATTCCATACATTAATATTTTTGAATATCGTACGCATACATAAGTTGTGGCTTTGTGTAGTATTTGATTAAATATTATATACGCAATATCATACCGCAGCACCATTTACCTGACACCTGATTGCTTGTTACACATTTTCTTTTATCTTCTTACAGGTATGTTATTTACCTAGTAAATGGTATTAGTGGACTAAGGTGGTAGTCTTTTGATATAATTCACTAGCGGATTCTAAATATAAAGCTTCTATTGAAGCACTATTGTGTGTTATGAATTCGACAGTAATTTCGACTTCCCGCTATTCGTTCTAGCCGTTTGATTGAACCGTAATCTTCTGTCTTGCACTGTTATGATACAAGAAACTAGTTTATCTATAACAGTCAAATTAGCTGAAATAAAATCTTTTAATTTTGCGAGTTATTGACCAGTGGCTCCATTTGGCTATTATTACAATGTCAAAATGTTCCTGTTGAATTTTCTCGAAATCGTTAATGAAAGCCACGATTAGATCAATTTATATCGGATATGACTTTGAAAATGGTTGAATAAATACTACAATCCTAAGTTCAACGGTTACCTTGGACAAATAATATCACGAAATTGTTGTCTGATTTTGCCTCTGTCAGCGGTGTTCAACGGCGGTAATGGTCATCATGTTATATCCTGTATTTCATTAAAAACAATACTAATATTCGAATGACCTTGAACTTGGATGACTTGCATGAAATCGGAAGATTAGCATTGCTAAATATTCATGTAAAAAATACCAAAGTTCCTTAAAGTAGCTGTGCAATTTTATCTGATCGCTACCAGATTCACCATTTCCAACATTCATTAGTCTTAAAAGCGATTTTTTCTAAAATTATACAAAGCTGTCATAAGCAATTATTTTGTAGTAACGTTAAGTGAGCAGCATAGGTTTTACAAAGCGAAACAGAAGCATTGTTGACCTCAGTGATGCACAGAAGCTCTCATTACAGTAAGCAGCGGCCATCGTAAAATGTTTCGTTTTTGAAACACTCAGTTCTTCCTATTTTATTCATTCAACTGGTTTTTAAAATTAAGTATCGCGCTTTCATGGCATATTTTTTTGATAATTTTTATGGGCTGTTATTTATTTCGGGATCTGTGACAAAGTAATGACTGGATTACCTAGCATTCAGGTCGCATTCTACTAAATGCGTCATGTAATAGGTGATAAACACTAACCCCGCATTTTCTCTAAAATTTCGAATAATCATTTTTCTGTAAGGTGTTCCCTTGCAATCATTGCACAAAGTGAACATGTCGGCTTCGGCATGGTGGCCCTATGTTTGTAGGCTTTCAACCGACTTTTCAACAATATATAGAAATCGAATCGGTTTCTGGTCTACATAATCGACTTTGCGGTTGGTAAAATCCGCTAATATACTGTTCTCACCAATGCTCAAAGGATTTCCTTTTGTTTTTATGTTATTAAAGAGAAGTACTTACATCTATTATATTAAACAAAGAAAACAAAGATTGATAACTTTTGAGACTTGATTAAAATTAAATTGGTGTGTTTTTCTCATAATAGAAAGCTATACATATCCCAATAAATGAGACTAATATATATATATAGGAATTATTATATATTTATTATATATAGAAATTGGTGTACTAAATGTTTTTGGAATGTCATCAATGTTCAAAAGCCTTTTTTTAAAAAAATTTATTATATGTAAATTAAACGTGCGGATGTTATTGACTTTTTTTACTAAAAGTCCACCATTAATTAAGGATTTTTTCACTTCTTGTATATTTTTTAATTGAATATAATTATTAATTTAATGTAATTCTGACTTACGTAAATACTAAGTGATAAGACAGATCTATACTTTTTACATGCAAAAATTCATACTTTTGTGTCACATGATTTTTGGTTCAGTGAATATGTAATATTAACATAAGCTATATGACAAATTTAGGTTATGATAAGGTATAAATGCGTGTTCTTAAGGCAGAACGATTCATTAGCATCATTGATTTCAAGGCGGAATGAGGCTCGTATTTGTTTTTTAGCTGATTGAAATACGCTTGTAGACCGCGAATGGTAGTGATTTCTCTACAGTTACTCGAGCACTCCACTGGCGAGACCTTCATTCAGTGTGAGAGACAGTTCCTCATTTAAGACTTAATTGGTTTGGAGGTCTTTTCATGGATGAAGTGCTCAGCAGTTCAATATCGCTAATCCATTCCTTTTTTCCGAAGTATCTAATTCTCGATACTTCATACTCTCGATACAAACGTACGTTATTAGTTTCTCTTGAAAAATGTTTGTGATAATGCTATCATTGACCTTCGGAAGAGTTAAGCGTTAAGACAGGATGATCGATGACTTAGTTTACTTGTTCATAGGAGAGCGCGTGTATAACCGAACGGGTGTCCACCTCTTGTTCTGAATGCTGTATTTGATTTCGAAGAGCATGTGTAGGCGCTAAAACTGTTAGGTGGTATTTCGACTTCTATCTGCCGCAATCTACTCGCATCAACTCTTCTCTAAGGGACATCATTTCCGTTCAGTCCACATTTGTGAGTTTATAGCTCACATGCCTCAATTTAATTATAGGGACCAGATGGTCTAAAACAACCATCGATTGTATTAGGGATGTCAAGCTTAACGCTGATTGGTAACAATTAGTGAAAATCGCTTTTGAGGTAATTTTTTTTACTAAAAAGAAGGTTAAAATTCAATGAAAGCTGCATCAATCCATTAGTCGCATTCAAAGTGTCCTTTTCAGAATCAACCAATCAAATCAAAATCAACCAAAAGGGCTAAGGCTTGAATAGTTGAGATCCAGATAATGTGGCTTTGTTATATTATATTTCCGATGTACTCATTGAACATGTTCCATACTCACCGCCCCAGTTTAGGATCCGAGTTTATGATGATCAAGACAAATAATGACTTTTTGCGTGACGAATCACTTTGCAATGGCTTTAGAAGCCGTTCGTTACGCAATTCGATCATCGATCGTGGTTGGCGAGCGTGTAACAACTGAAAATAATAGCATACTAGTTTAATTGTGTTAGGGTAAATGGGACATACATCTCCGAAGGTAAGCTTGAATTGCCCCTTTTTTATTTTGTCTATTTATAATTTTATCTACCTTTTGAGGATCTGAGTTTAAAAAGCGAACTGTGGGTGTGAGCTTATTCTATTAATGTTCACTTTAACCAAGAAGTGGTCTTAATAGGCTATCCTTCATATTGTGTTGCTACTGAAAGTTCTACAATTGTAAACGTCCACCCACGCATAGCCACATATGCTATAACGGCTTGAAAATCAAATATCTTCGTTTCTAAATGATTTCATCGTAGCCCAAACTATTATCATTTACATTGTTATTGCAATGATTATTATCACTTTATCGAATTTTTAGAATCTGTATTTTTAAATGTATTTCAGCGCCGTCATCGGCGTGCTAATTTCCACATTCATATGTGTAAATAGGAGAAATTTAGTACTAGATCTGCGCTGGTCTGAACAATTTAGGTGCGACGCCATTAGCCACTGGAGCTGTCGATAGGGTTGTCATTATCATTGGATAGCCGATGTTCGTCCTCGTTCTATCGCTGGACAGTCATAGAACTTCACTTCATTACATCGTTTCGAAGTGCGCCTATTCGTCATCGTATTAATGACATTTCTGACACATAGGTTCGGACCTATATCTAGATTTAAAGTATCAGTAGAGATCGTACGGTGAATATCCTTGATGGCGTAAACTTTATCAGTTTCAGTCAGAAAGATAGGCGCGTGCATGTCATAAGTGACGTTTCTAATATTCAATAATAATAAGAATAAATAACGTATTCGGCTTTACCAAAAACATGCGATTCCGATTTGAATACCCGTCAAGCGATATTGGAAAGGTTCTGTGTTTGTGCGCTTGGACAATTTCTTTCAAGTTGATGCTGTGGAAACGTTAAAATGAGCGAATCTTAGCATAACTCTCACGGCATTCCGGTATCGCTATGCGCGCCAACAGTATTCATCAGTGAAGCTAGGAAGAATCATTATTATCTCCATGTCGTATATGGCGTGCTTCGGTGGTTCGTATTGATAATTGTCGAAGCTGAAGAAGTTTGTCAATGCGATACTGTTCTTGATGAAGGTGATTAAATGAAATACGTACTCTTGAATGTGTTGAAACGAAATCTAATAATGCAAACCCTTGCTACAATTTGCCACTTTTATGTGACAATGAAAAAGGATTGTGTCTGGCTAACAGGTATCGAGCGTACCTATACAGTGTATGCATTTTTTGTCGCCTGATTTTTATTCTGATCTGCCGTCGCTAATGGCTCTGACGTTGCTAATGGTCGATGTTGATGATTTTCTTGTTGTTCGCAATGTGCCTCAACCATTGTTGTCATCTGATTTGGGAAGTGCACTTGGCGAGTTATTTACGGAATGCTATTATATACGTAAAGAAACCGTAGGGCTCTAGCCTGCTGTGTTAAATCAAACTGGGAAAAGCCATGAACAATTGGTGCGCGGACGCATTCGGTGCCAAAATTAATATATATATATATATATATATATATATATATATATATATAGCTATTTCCTGCTGTCGCGTACCAATGAATAAGTTCTGAATTTTATTATTTTTGAGGATTCCCGGGAGCATAAAGTGCAAAAGCCAATTCCTTCTAATTAGTAGGTAAGTTCAATGTGCATGGATCATATATTTTGATTGGCTGTTTCCGTTCGTAGATCGTAAGTTGCCCGATACGCTCGGATGTACGTTCGAAGGATATGATCAAATGTGAGAAACAGTTCGTGTAGCTTCTCCGCTAATTTTTTCGGTAACTAATTTAGTGATGTTAGCAGACCTTCATTAGCTGCTTCGCCCGATTCCAAGCAGAAAAACTGTACACGTTGGATGTTCATGTTAAAGGGGTAATATA